AGAGAGAGAGAGAGAGAGAGAGAGAGTTTTGTTCCGTTTGTTGATACGCGTGCGAGAGAGAGAGAGAGAGAGAGAGAGAGAGAGAGAGAGAGAGAGAGAGAGAGAGAGAGACTGAATGGCAAAATTAAATATCGGTCAAATTGCGGTCGCGATCTATTTTGCAATTGGAATGGTTTTTTTTAATTTATTGGCCCAGGCATGGTGGCAAAAATGGAAAATGTGCCGAATCGGTGCGACGATTATTTTGCAGTGTAAATGATTTTTTTTAAATGTTCTATTATTATTTCTGGAAAGAACATGACCTCATCTATGGATTCTCAAAATTTCAGATTTTTGTGCATGTTCGTTCGAGCACAGAAAATCGCCAAAGTTGCCTCTTGCAAAACGCCTATTCGTTGTGCTTGACCTCCTTGTTTTGAGAAGACGGGGCTCAATGCCTGGGCCTGAGGGCCCTTTTACAGTTCACATGCCCTCACTTCTTTTTGGGGTTCGCTTCTACCCGGGGTCCGGTCCAACGCCCCCCACTTCTTTTTGGGGTCCACTTCCACCCGAGGACCGGTCCTTCCTTTTTCCAAAAGTCCCGGTTCTAGCAGAGCTAGTTGTAGGTAGTCAGCAGTTTTGCAAAGGACCGCTCCCCCAAATTTTTTTGTCCCCTAAGAACCCACTTTGCGTCCTGGTCGCCCGCCGCCAAAAATGCGACACCTTGACACAGACGCGGAAGCACACTATACCACAGCCTAAGGGCTGCGAATAAAATAAGGGTAGGAACCCACAGGAAGGGGAGACCCCACAAACGGATTTTGGCGTTGCGGAAGTCGTTTGCCAACCGTTTTAACTCGGTCTGCGGCCCCCTTATATTCCTACGTGACCCTAAATTCCCGTTTTCCAAAAGTCGGCCCGTTTACCTACCTCCTGGTTGCGTACTCCTGCACATTCGAACCGAAGTCGGACACCTACAAAGCGGACATGTATCAGTCCAGTGTTTGGTCCACCTGAGGCCGGACAAGGGGTGTTGTCGCACGCTGACCATTGGGCCATGGACCGTGGCACCGTGTAAGGTGGGAAGGTCCTCGTCATTTTTCGTTTTGACTTTCTCCCGCACCTAAACGGCCCTGCGATTTCGAATTTTCGTCGCCCGCCTCCGTATCGCTACAACAAGCACGTAGGCTGGCTGCATGCAAAACCTGATGTCCTTCCACTGTTCGCATGCAGAATGCGGTGATGCCAGCCTCCATAGCCATGTACAGGCCGTTCGTGAACGCTGCACGCACGTCATGGGGGGTTCGGCTGCTTCGTCTCCCAAATCCAACGTTCAATCTCCCTCAGGCCAGCCATCGTGTCACAAACGCAGTGTGGCAGACACGTTCATGCGTGGCACTGACGCAGAGTGTTTACAACCATGGCGAGGGCAGATTGTGCGAGAAGGTGCTGACTTTCATCACATCATCGTTTTTGGGCTGGTCTAGGGAGAACGTTGGCGATGGTGTGCACGCTCAATCCGGAAGGTGGGACGAAGGACTTTGTCGGACAGTTTTGAGCGGGCGGGGAGGTGGTGGGTGGTAGGTCCGTCGCCCCCGGTTGTCGGGTGTTGATACGTGCACAGCCCGTGTGACGGAGCGTTCGACAGTTCTGGTCAGAAACTGTGAAGGCGTGGCTTGCAACTTATTGCCACATCGTCAGCTGCGAAGGTCTCCATGCTCATGTTGTTGTTGTGGATGTCGTCGTCCTACAATCGTTGTCGTTAAGAGTTAGACCGACTACGACGATTGCAAGGCGGGTGCACTTCGGCCTGTCATGTTCGTGGTTGTCGTTCTCATGTTGGGTGTTCTCGGGTTGTTTGTTGCAAGCGTTGGTGTGTTCGCGTTTGTAGGTCTTGGCGCTCTGTACTTTCTGATGCGTCTGTGATGCACATGCACAAACAAATGTGTCAACGTATAGATAGTTGTATACATACATCGATAGCTAGCTAGCTAGCTAGCTAGCTAGATAGATAGATAGATAGATAGATAGATAGATAGATAGATAGCCATATAGAGAGGTATGTACAGTGGTGTGTGAGGAGAGGTTGTCGGATAGGGAGATGGAGGGTGAAGATGACGTCAATTGTCACAGGAGTGTATGAGCACGACCGATTCGCGTAGGAGGGTCTGTGGCGAGAGAGAGCACAGCGAATGATTCGAGAGTTAGCTTCCCGGAGGCTTGTCATCGTCTCCTCCGGACATCGGTAATGCGGCCAACGGCTTCATGCCCAACTTGTTATGGGCCAACCCCGGTTTGGAATCATGATCCAGTGGAGCTTGGGCGCTCGCCTTCTATGAGATACACCCCCCTTCCTCCGTGATTGTTGTCGTCTATAGTTGTGAGTTTGCCACGGGGGGTTGAGCAGCTGACAGGAAAGTATCCGACAATGTTCGGGCAGGCGACGTTTTATGAATAACGCAACGACTGCCACGACTATGGAATGACCGGTTACTTCGAGCGACCGTGGTTTGATGATGGAGGTAGGGCAGTGTCGCATGCAGCTCCATACATGCCTCCGGACACGACTCCGTCGTACGGCTTCAGACCTTATGTGGACAGGTATCCTTCCCCGACGATGTCCGAGCATCCGGTCAGCATGTCCTGCGATGCCCCGGATACTGAAGCCATTCCCACTCCGCAGTGTGGGCAGGGCGCACCCTCCCCTCATGATGCGCATGCTCCTGTGACCTCCAGTCCTTCAAGTACGAGGGGTCGACCGATCGGTCAAAAGGCACGTGCCGACCGACAAGGTGCACCTCAGTCCCCGGTCGACGATGGCGAAGGAGGGACGCGAAACAAGAAGCCGTGGTCTTTGGAGTAGCGCCTGACACTTGCAAGATACATGCAAGAGGGTGGCACTATGATGGCGGCCGCCCAACCAAGACAAAAACACCAGTGGCAATCGTTGAGGAATGATTGAGTGGCGAGGCGGATAAAGGAGGATGGGTACCACCGATCGACAAAGGACGTGTGAAAGAAATGGGCCGACCTGCAAAACCAGTATAGGGAGATCAACGACAAGTGCAGGGGGTCTGGGAAGCCGATATTCTGGGATATGCCGACCAAGGACAAGAAGAGGGAGGGTTTGACGTTCCTTTTTGAGGAAGAGTTATGGGACAAGATGGTGTGGGTGCAGAGGAAGAGGTCAACCATGTGCGACAACACGTTGGAATTGTCCACGTTGCCTGGTGCAGATAGCGGGAGTTCGGAAAAGGGAGTCTCCCCCGCCACCCCGGTGGAAGATTCCGAAAGCAGCAGGAAGTCTCGTCGGACAGACGAAGGGAAAACATCTGCAGCCGAATGGTGCAGCTCTTCGAGATCTGGTTCGTAGTTTTTCATGGAGGACTCCACACGCACTCTCTGTGATGGTCTCGTGAATGCGGGGGGGACTCTTCAACTTGCAAGGGCCAATGCA